ATATGGTTCATGTTTTCACATATGTAATGTGCTTATATGGTTATTGTTAGTAACAAATGAGATTGGGAGTTGAATTAAATGCAAAAGCAAAACCACAAGTGAGAGTGGGGAAACTGTAATGTGAACATAGTGGCATTCAGATAGAATGCGTTCATTCCAAGTATAGCAGATATAAGCCATAAGGTCTGTTTCCTTTTTACCTTCTGTGGTGTAGTTGGTAGTGCCTTGGCTTAGAAATTATAAGTCCTAGTTTAATTCCCGGTGAGGTAAATATGATGCATGTTTTCACATATGTAATGTGCTTAATTGGATATTGTTGGTCCTGAATGAGATTGGGAGTTGAATTACATGCAAAAACAAAACCATGCTTGAGGTTGGGGAAACTGTAATATGAACATATTGACATTCAGATAGAAAGCATTCATTCCTAGTATAGCAGACATAAGCTATGAGGTCTGTTTCCTTTTAACCTTCTGTGGTGTAGTTGGTAGTGCCTTGGCTTCGTAATTATAAGTCCTAGGTTCAAGTCCCCACCGGGGTAAAAATGATTCATGTTTTCACATATATAGTGTGCTTATTTGGATATTGTTGGCCCCAAATGAGATTGGAAGTTGAATTAAATGCAAAAATAAAACAACGAGTGAGGTTGGGGAAACTGTTATGTGAACATAGTCGCATTCAGATAGAATGCGTTCATTCCTAGTATAGCAGATATAAGCTATAATGTCTGTTTCCTTTTAATCTTCTGCGGTGTAGTTGGTAGCACCTTCGCTTAGTAATTACATAAGTCCTAGGTTCAAGTCCCGGTTGGGGTAAATATGATTCATGTTTTCACATATGTAATGTGCTTATCTGGTTATTGTTAGTCCCGAATGAGAGTGGGAGTTGAATTAAATGCGAAAGCGAAACCACGAGTGAGGGTGGGGAAAATGTTATGTGAACATAGTGGCATTCAGATGGAATGCGTTCATTCCTAGTATAGCAGATATCAGCTATAAGATCTGTTTATTTTTTACCTTCTGTGGTGCAGTTGGTAGAGCCTTGGCTTAGTAATTATAAGTCCTAGGTTCAAGTCTTGGTCAGGTAAAAATGAATCATGTTTTCTCATATGCAACGTGCTTATTTGGCTATTGTTGGTCAAGAATGAGGTTGATAGTTGAATTAAATGCAAAAACAAAACCACGAGTGACAGTGGGGAAACTGTAATCTGAACATAGTGACATTCAGATAGAGAGTATTCATTCCTAGTATAGCAGATATAAGCTATAAGGTCTGTTTCCTTTTAACCTTCTGTGGTGTAGTTGGTAGTGTCTTGGCTTAGTAATTATAAGTCCTAGGTTCAACTCCCGGTCGGGGTAAAAATCATTCATGTTTTCGCATATACAATGGGCTTATTTGGACATTGTTGGTCCCGAATGAGATTGGGAGTTGAATTAAATGCAAAAACAAAACCACGAGTGAGATAGGGGAAACTGTAATATGAACATAGTGGCATTCAGATAGAATGCGTTCATTCCTAGTATAGCATATATAAGCTATGAGGTCTGTTTCCTTTTAATCTTCTGTGGTGTAGTTTGTTGCACCTTGGCTTAGTAATTATAAGTCCTAGGTTCAAGTCCCGGTTTAGGTAAATATGATTCATGTTTTCACATATGTAATGTGCTTATTTGGTTATTGTTGGTCTTGAGTGAGAGTGGGAGTTGAATTAAATGCAAAAGCAAAACCACAAGTTAGGGTGGGGAAACTGTAATGTGAATATAGTGGCATTCAGAGAGAATGCGTTCATTCCTAGTATAGCAGATATAAGCTGTAAGGTCTGTTTCCTTTTTACCTTCTGTGGTGTAGTTGGTTTTGCCTTGGCTTAGTAATTATAAGTCCTAGGTTCAAGTTCCAGTCAGGTAAAAATGATTCATGTTTTCACATATGTAATGTGCTTATTTGGCTATAGTTGGTCCCAAATGAGATTGGGAGTGGAATTAAATACGAAAGCAAAACAGCGAGTGAGGTTGGGGAAACTGTAATATGAACATAGTGACCTTCAGATTGAATGAGGTCATTCCTAGTATAGCAGATATAAGCTGTAAGGTCTGTTTCCCTTTTCAGACCTTCTGTGGTGTAGTTGGTAAAGCCTTGACTTAGAAATTATAAGTCCTATGTCCAAGTCCCTGTCGGGGTAAAAATAATTAATTTATATATATATATATATATATATATATATATATATATATATATATATATATATATATATATATATATATATATATATATATATATATATATATATATATATATATATATATATATATATAGATATATATATATAGATATATATATACACATATATACATATATACATATATATATATATATATATATATATATATATATATATATATATATATATATATATATATATATATATATATATATATATATAATATATATATATATATATATATATATATATATATATATATATATATATATATATATATATATATATATATATATATATGAATCATTTTTTACCCCGACCGGGACTAGAACCTAGGACTTATAATTACTAAGTCAAAGCGCTACCAACTACACACCACAGAAGGTATAAAAGGAATACAACCTTTTAGCTTATATCTGCTATACTTAGGGATGAACGCATTCTATCTGAATGCCACTATGATCATATTACAGATTCCCCAACCTCACTCGTGGCTTCATTTTAGCATTTAATTCAATTCCCAATCTCATTCGGGTCATACAATAACCAAGCAAGCTCATTGCATATGTGAAAACATGAATCATTTTTTACCCCGACCGGGACTCGAAGCTAGGACTTATAATTACTAAGTCAAGGCGCTACCAACTACACTCCACAGAAGGTATAAAAGGAATTCAGCCTTATAGCTTATATCTGCTATACTTAGGGATGAACGCATTCTATCTGAATGCCATTATGTTCATATACATATATATATGTATATGTATATATATATATATATATATATATATATATATATATATATATATATATATATATATATATATATATATATATATATATATATATATATATATATATATATATATATATATATATATATAATATATATATATATATATATATATATATATATATATATATATATATATATATATATATATATATATATATATATATATATATATATATATATATATATATATATATATATATATATATATATATATATATATATATATATATATATATATATATATATATATATATATATATATATATATATATATATATATGTATATATATATATATATATATATATATATATATATATATATATATATATATATATATATATATATATATATATATATATATATATATATATATATATATATATATATATATATATATATATATATATATATATATATATATATATATATATATATATATATATATATATATATATATATATATATATATATATATATATATATATATATATATATATATATATATATATATATATATATATATATATATATGTATATATATGTATATATATATATATATATATATATATATATATATATATATATATATATATATATATATATATATATATATATATATATATATATATATATATATATATATATATATATATATATATATATATATATATATATATATATATATATATATATATATATATATACATACATATATATATATATATATATATATATATATATATATATATATATATATATATATATATATATATATATATATATATATATATATATATATATATATTTACATATATATGAGTACTTACAAAGACTCAGTGAGAGACCGGGCCTTGTCAGGAGCAGACGTGACATTCGCAGCTTAGCTAGCCTCCCCCTTGGGGGCAGGAATCTGGAATCATTCGTGGCAGGAACTGTAGTAATGGGAACTCTGAGTATATATATGTAAGCCAGAAGTAAATACATATAAAGAAGCAGCTGATCTATTTTCACCAACCACGCTACCATATTTAACCCCCGTATGAAATAGTAATTCCACGACATTGGTGTCATCCAGTGGAATAATACCACGACATATTGCTGATAACTAGTGGGATAGGCACACGACATATTGGTGAACAGCTCAGGATCAATCCACGCCGTTATTACTACGAAGAAAAAAAAAGAAATTAAAAATACAGAAGAAAAAATATATAGCATCTATGGAAGAAAAGTGCGTGATGAAGAAACTTCTAGACGCTTACAAGCAGCGAGAGAGCGAAGCTGAGAAAGTCTGAGCTCCCCTTTCACCTACAGTATCATATTACCAGATCCAGCCACTGTCCTCCACCCCCATGTTGGCAAGGCCCCCAGCAGTAAAAGTACAATGAGCGCATTCATGGATGCCACTGTCACAGTAAGCCGATGTGTGACCGGGTCTTTGAGTGGAAAAAGCCCTTACAAGAAGTATATGTTGCTGGTTCCAACCAAGAAGATGGCGATTCGTCAATTTTACAAGAGATATGGAGAATTGGGCGGGAACCTCGTGCGCCCAGAAGAAAGAAGAACTCCCTCCACCATGTTCTTCAAGCAGTTTTCTCAAAATAGCTAAGTACTTGTGATCTGTATCCAGTGAGTAATGGGACAATTAATAAAAGAAATTGAGGTTGGCGGATGCTGCCAATTTACTTTGTAGAGATGCTTTGACTCAGCCAACCCGCCTATGAGGGGTATGGTCCTGGTAAGTTAATAAAAGTAGAATATCTGTACCCATTACTAACATGGATAATTTGCACTAATAGCTATAAGCAATGATAACCTTCATTTTTTAAATTATTTGAATAATATAATGAGAAATTGCAGTTGAAGGGTGTTCCATTTACTTGTATTACTGCATAAGTTGATATTAAGAAGGCAAATGTATTGATTTTAATTGAGAAAATCTAGTGTACGTGTAAAATCATTTTTATTTTAATCTCTTAAAGTGTAAG